GTTTTAGACCCCATGTTTCTTAGGACCAAATCCGTTTCAGATAATTTGGAGTCGATTTACAAATGTCCGTCCGTCCGAAGGTGGGACCCGTCTGCCCCCTTCTCTGGTACTCCCCCACATATAATATATAGCTGGAATGCTGAGATTTGAAATTTACATAGCCGCTGGAGTGTAGGATTCAGATATGTAGTTAGTTTGGAAATGTATAAAAAAATTACTAAATTGTACTATATTTGGTAACATTTTATGTGTGAGTGAACCTATGGAGCTTGAACACTGAAATTTGGAAATTAGATTACTACTGTATTGTAGAATTGTGGTAGGTCGTTTTGGAAATTTATACTTATGTGTCTTAATGGCACTAAATTTAAGATTTGAACTTGATATTACCTTCGAAGTGTAGGATTTGGATATGTAGTTAATTTGGAAATTTGTACTTATGTGTACGAAAAATACTGAATTGTAATATATTTGGTCAAATTTGGACTTTGGTTCCACCGATAGAGCTTGAAAATAATCAAAGACATAAAAGTATAAAGATAGGTACTACTATGTACTAACTGGTACTAAACTTATTATAACTTGGATTTATAATGAATCCCAAGGCCTGGGATGGTAATATGGGCAAATAAAATTTTTATTTTATTGTATGATGAAGGTAGTTATGGAAATTTGTACTACTATTTTTATTTAATACTAAATTTTATACACTTTAAATTTAGGTGGTCTGGTAAAGCTGAAATCCAGCAATTTGGAATAAAGATTACTGTTGGAGAGTATTTGGGTGTGTGGGAAGTTAGTCAAATTCGTACTATATGGTACTAAATTTGGTACAATTTGGATTTGGGTGAACCTATCGGAATCGATATAGGGAAATATAATTTCTTTTGCGATTATTGAGATGGTTATTCATGGAAATGTATATTAATGTGTACTAAATTTGGTAAAATTTGGATTAAGGTGAACTCATAGAGCTGAAATCCTGAAATTTAGAATTAGTTTTGGAAATAAGTACGACAAGAGTGCAAAAGGCACAAAAGTTCTAAATGAGTAGGTAATTTGAGAATAAATTGCACCAAATTTAATATGTAGCTAGATTTTTGTTGCGCTCGGAATTTGTATGTAGTGTTGAGATATGGAGGTAGTTTTTGAAATACGCACTATAAGAGAAAATATTTACAATATTGTATTCAAATTTTAAATAGGGTCGATATTGGTGTGTAGATTGATTAGCTCTTGCAGTTTTCTATGAAAACGACATAATATGTTAGGAAATTGCGAGTGCTGCAATGAAAAGGAAAGCCATAGCGGACTTCCATACCCACCGAGTTGTTGAACATTTGTATTTATATCGAAGCAATTACGAATTTAAATCTGAGAATTAAGTTTCGTTACGTTTGTCAGTCATGCTCCCCTGTACAAGAATATTTTGTAGTGCAAGTTTCATGATAAAGTTCTGTAGAACGGGGATGCCGAAGAGATAAAACGTTGCCACTTTCTACTAAAAGATATATTTCTGTTTCATCTTTCACGACTACGCCTTTGAAGTATTTATCGGCATCCAATTCAGGGAGGGATAACACTTCTGGGTGATTTCAATTGAAATGTTCACAGTTGCCTTTAGCATTGCACTAACATTGTTCTGTTTGATTTTCGGCACCTGGCCGGGTGGTCAAACGTATCTGGGCTATTGTTTCCTTATGATGCATCTTTATTGTGCCCTCGGCACTGTGGTAGAAGTGACAGTAAATTATCGATATTGCCTTGACTTGTGTCGAGAATAAAAAGGGAAATATATTTCGTTTGGAGTGTCGTGCGGTACAATTCATTTTACTCAAAAATAAATTTCCACACAATTATATCATACATTTGGATTATTGGTCCTTAGAAGAAAACCATGGCGTTTTTAGTTGTATATAGTAGGCTAAATTGTTTCAACAAATGCTGATTTCTAAGCAATTATCTTTATGGCAACACTTGCAAAAATTTAGATATTGTGTTCAACGATGAAGCTAGTTTTTTGGATCAATGCAGAATTGTTGATTATGGATCAGACAGAAGCATTGGAAAACCTTCCAATGCCTTCTAAAAAGTCACAGTTTGGTGAGATTTATGGGCTGGTGTCATCATTGGACCATATTTCTTCAAAGATGGTAGGAATAGTAACGTAACTTTGATTGGTGAGTTTTGATTGTATGTAGCGTATTTTCATGACATAATTTTTATGTGATTTTTTTTCGACAAAACTTTCATTTGAAAATCTAAATGGCTCCATTTTGTCCAAAGACTATAGTCGGGGTGTTAGAAAATCCATCTGGGGATGAAAGCCCTTGCGAATAAATTAAGAAACCAGAAAAGAAATTCATTAGATTACATAGATATAAGTTTTTCGGTACAAGTATTGGGTAAAACTGGTAGAGGATGAGAAAATAGAGAGAGATGTTCACCAAAATCTAAAATGGATTTAAACCATTTTCAAAATATGGGGCTCATATATGAATTTAAAATGAGTACAAACCATCTACATATATGAAAAAAACATTGTGTTATAATAAAAAATACTTTTTTTCATTTCGAACCAGCGGTAATCAAACAAACCTTGAGACCATTAACATAAAATTGACCGAAAATGTATATGGGAGCTATATACAAATCTTCGTTCTTGAGTCAATTAAATGAGCTGTGCTCAATTTTATTTCATGCCACCTGTATTTTGTTTGAAATAATACATCAACAGACGGACGTACAGGCATAAATAGACTAACAACGTGAATCTATGCATATTCTCAAAAGTAACCATAGGTCTATCTTGATTTCATTTATCTCTTACAAACTTATGCACAAAGACACAATACCGTGTACAGTATCTGCCAAACACTATGCACCCCATCGGAACATCTTCCTCCACCAAAATGTAGAGTGCATATTAAATTTGTTATTCCGTTTACAACATATTGAAATTTTCTACGGAGACCCCCTATATTCTTGATCAGAATAAAATTCTATGTCGATTTATGCCTGTCATCACGATAGAGATCGCAATATTTGAGAAATAGCTTTAAAATCTTGCACAGACATCGGTAGTAGTTCTGGGATTTTTGGTATTGCAAATGGCTTATATCGGTCTACGTTTTGGTTTAGCCTCCATATAACGGTACCCAAGGACGAGCCCTATTGAAATTGGGAAAAATCGGTTCAGATTTGAATATAGTTCCCAAATATATTTTCGTCCGATTTAATTTAATTTCGCTTTCAGAGAAAATTGGTATAGCGTACCGAATTAAGTCTAGAATGATGTGTGCTAAGTTTCGTGAAAATCGGTTCAGATTTAGATATATCTCCATATATATTTTTCTCCGATTTTAAGTAAATGTTGCACCAAGGTCCCAAAATATGGCCGATAGACACAAAATGTACTGAAATTTGTATAACCTAACCTGTGACAATTTTCGTTGCAATCGGTTCAGATTTATATATATCTCCCATATATATTTTCGTCCGATTTAATATAAATGTACTTAAGTCCCGGTATATCACTCGATTTGGACGAAATTTAAATCTGATTTAAATCTAGAATGATGTGTGTTAAGTTTCGTGAAAATCGGTTCAGATTTAGATATAGCTCCTACATATATTTTCCTCCTTTTTAAGTAAGTAAAAATATGACCGATATTCACAAAACGTTCTGAAATTAGTATAAACTAACCTGTGACAAGTTTCATTGAAATTGGTTTAGATTTTTTTAGATATTATTTATTTTTGTGTCATTTAGTACGAATTTTCAATAAACCAAGCCTCCTATTGGTACATTCAGATTTCTATCATAGCAGTTCCATTGCTTCCAACAGTTCCGGAGTAATGCAGTTTTAGTACTTTTTAGTACCTTTTAGTACTAATTTCCAAAAAATATTTTTGCCCATCATTATATTTGTAATAGCTTAAGCTAAATACCATGTTTCAGTTATCTGTCTACAACGGTTCTAATGAAATATAATATTTAGTACTTTTTAGTACCTTCTAGTACTAAAATTTCAAAATTTTTTTCACACATACCACTTCGCTTATCGTAGGCAAAGCTGCATACAAAATTTCAAGGTTCTAAACCTATTCGTTCCCCAGTAATACAGTTTTTAGTACTTTTTAGTACCTTTTAGTACGAATTTCCAAAAACCCCGCCTACACACCAAACCCCACCTACACACCAAACCCCACCTACACGCCAAATTTCAAGCTTTTAGCTTTGGCCGTTTCGTCTGGGCGTTGATGATCAGTCAGTCACTTATAACGCAACTCTTTTATATATATAGATTACTACTTCGACTTTTCTACACGATTAGAAAGATGATATATAGGAATGGTGTTTAAAATCTTAGGGATTAAATAGGTTGTAAATACCATACGCTAATCATTGTCGTTCAATAATATTAATACTCAAGATTTAATATAAAGGTGTATTGAGAATGACAAATTACCCTTGAATATTTCTAGAATAACTAACCAATTCCATACAAATATGACGACTAAATATATACACAAATTTGTATCTTCAGTACATCAACTAATGCCAAAATGACTCTAAAATTCTAGTCTATAAAAAAGAACAAAGCAAACAACTACACACCTAAATATTCTTAGTTGATACAATGTTACATTTACCTTCAAAATTCACCTGCTGCGATGTGTGAACAACAGTAGCTAATAAAAAGGGGGGAAAGCTACAAACAAAGTTCAACAACCTAACCACAGCGGGAATTCTTAAAATAGACTCTTTAACCCCATAAATGTTTTCCACTCAATTTGCTCAACGTAATCAAATATTAACAGATTATGTTCCGATGAACCTGTTGCACGGAGTGCCACAATGGGGGTTTCCATTTATTTTAAGTTGTTTTTGTTGTTCAATCTTCTTAACTTTTTAAAAAGAGACATTAATGCGTTTTTTTTCCTTGCTCTCCCTTTTCATTGTCCTTGTCTTTTTTTTAATTTCATTAAAATTTCAGTATTCTGTTTGCTGACATCTGCGGTTTTACAAGTCTCTCGGATCAATGTACAGCGGAGGAGTTGGTGCGTCTACTAAATGAACTTTTTGCAAGGTAAGTGTAAAGTCCTCACACAGGAGCAAAGGTTGATTAGCTGTCAATGAATAATTAAGTTCACGCCATATTAAATGAAAAAAAGAAAAGAAAAGAACACATCAACGATAATAAAAATTATCCTTTGTAAAATTTGTTGACATAAATAACATTTTATAATGGCACATTCTTGTATTTAATATTACTCATTCTGTGATAAGGAAATTCCAAATAATGCAATTAAAGGAAATGGAAATTGGCAGTTTTTAAATATATAAACAATCTATACTTGTTTCATAGCCATTTAAAAATACTCTTTAAAAATCCACGCCTGTTGCTTTGATACTCCTTTAAAATACATTCTTTAAAAATCCACGCCTGTTGCTTTGATACTCCTTTAAAATACATTCTTTAAAAATCCACGCCTGTTGCTTTGCTACTCTTTTAAAATACATTCTTTAAAAATCCACGCCTGTTGCTTTGATACTCCTTTAAAATACATTCTTTAAAAATCCACGCCTGTTGCTTTGATACTCCTTTAAAATACATTCTTTAAAAATCCACGCCTATTGCTTTGATACTCGTTTAAAAATCCACGCCTATTGCTTTTTTTAAAATATATTCTTTAAAAATCCACGCCTATTGCTTTGGTCCTTAAAATATATTCTTTAAAAATCCACGCCTATTGCTTTTTTTTAAATATATTGTTTAAAAATCCACGCCTATTGCTTTTTTTTAAGTTCACGCCATATTAAATGAAAAAAAAGAAAAGAGCACATCAACGATAATAACAATTATCCCTTGTAAAATTTGTTGACATAAATAACATTTTATAATGGCACATTCTTGTATTTAATATTACTCATTCTGTGATAAGGAAAATTCCAAATAATGCAATTAAAGGAAATGGAAATTGGCAGTCTTTAAATATATAAACAATCTATACTTTTTTCATAGCCATTTAAAAATACTCTTTAAAAATCCACGCATATTGCTTTGATACTCCATTAAAATACATTCTTTAAAAATCCACGCCTGTTGCTTTGATACTCCTTTAAAATACATTCTTTAAAAATCCACGCCTATTGCTTTTTTTAAAATATATTCGTTTAAAAAATATTCTTTAAAAATCCACGCCTCTTTGGCAGAGTTTTTTAAAATATTTTCTTTAAAAATCCACGCCTATTGCCTTAGATTAACCATATATTCTTTAAAAATCCACGCCTTTTGCTATGGGTTTTTAAAATATTCTTTAAAAATCCACGCATTTTGCTTTTTTTAA